ACAGGGTCGCTATGAGTTGGAATCAACTTGACGGCAACAGGTTTTTTTCGGTTTCCGGTGCCAAAAGGAGCCCTGGTGGCACAGTGGTTAAGTGGTTAATTGCCCGGCTGCTAACTGAAAGGTTGGCAATTTGAATCCACCAGCCAATCCGTGGGAGGAAGCTGTGGCAGTCTGCTTTCATAAAGATTACAGCCTTGGCAACTCTATGGAGTAGTTCTACTCTGTCCTAGAGGGTCACTATGAGTCGAAATTGACTTGACAGTAATGGGTATGGTTTGGCTTGGTTTAGGTGCCAGTCTCTGGAAATTCAGAGATGAACAAACAAGAGAAACTGTTTTTGGGGAACTTACAGTCAAGGACAGGAGTGAGTCAAGAAAATAAACCAAATTTGAACAGCTGTGATTTCAATGAAAGAAGCAAGAGAATTAGGTTCAGGATAGGTCACAAAGGGATCTCAGCTATTTCTATCATGGCTGGTTTCTTTTAGGAATCCCTGAGTGCTGCAAAAGGCACCCTGGGGGCACAGTGGTTAAGCGATTGACTGATAACTGAAAGGTCAATGGTTTGAACCAAACACCACTCTCGGGGAGAAAGAAGTGGCAGCCTGCTTCGGTAAAGATTTATGCCCTTGGAAACTCTATGGGCAGTTCTGTTCTGTCCTACAGGGTCACTATGAGTAGGAATCGGCTTGATGGTAATGGGTTTGGTTTTGGTTTGGATGGTGCAAATGGTTAACATGCTCAGCTGCTAAATGAAAGTTTGGAGACTTGAGTCCACCCAGAGGTGCCTGGGAAGAAAGGCCTGGTGATCTTCTTCTGAAAAACCAGCCATTGAAAACCCAAAGGAGCACAGTTCTACTCTCACGCATGGGGTCGCCATGACTCGGAATTGACTTGACAACAATTGGTTTTCAGTTTCTTCTAAAAAGAAGTACTCAAGCTAATATATCAAATGGTGAACATTTGTTCAGTGTGGGTGATGGGTATGTGGGTATTTGTTATATTATTTTGCATATTTCTGTATGTATGTTTAAAATATTTCATTAAAGAAAACTCCATGTTATGCCAAGTGATATGATAGAAGTAGGCTTAGAATGCAATGAGGTCCTCAAGAGGGGGACCAGTTCATGACTAGTCCAGAGTGGGCGTGGGGAGGTGGTGGAAAGGGTCAGGGAAAGCTTTCAAGGAACCACTGTGACTTTTAAAGTAGCAAGGCGTCACAAGGGGATTTACATTTTAGAAAGAGGAATGAGAGAGAAGAGAGGTCTGGAGGCAGGGCTATTGTTTAGAGCTGAGATTAGTGAAGGTATAAACTACGTAGCCTTGGTGGCACAATGGTGAAGCACTTGGCTACTAACCTAAAGGTCAGCGGTTTGAACCCACCAGCCGCTGTACGGGAGAAAAGACCTGGTGATCTGCTCCTGTAAAGATTACAGCCTAGGAAACCCTATGGGGCAGTTCTACTCTGTCTTACAGGGTTGCTAGGAGTCCGAATCGACTTGATGGCATACACAAACAATAACAAACTAAGGTACTGGCTGTTGGGATGGGAAGAAGGAGCAGAATACAGAGACACTGTGCAGCAGGGCTGATAAAACTAGGGATACAAATCAGACGAAGGAGGTAAGCAAGAGGAAATCTGGAGAATTCTATCACTGAACCACCAATGTCTCACTGCATCGTGGTAGGTACCCATTAAACTTTCACCGGATTGAAATGCTCTGAGGCATTGCCATCATGGAAGAGGTCTCAAACTCTGGGGCAGGCATAGAACATGTTAGAGAAGAGAACATGGTCTTCTATTGTGCTTCCCAATTTATCCTAGCACCAGTGGTCCTGCTGATCAATCTGGAGAGGAGGCTTCCTTTTCCTAGCTTGACTGAAATTTGTTTGCTTTTGCCAACATTCTATAGCTCGGATCCATTATTAGCAAGTCACCCCTTTACCATATATAGAAACAGCAAGCGCACAGAAAACACATGGTGGGGGTGGATGACTCAGTAGATTTGGCAATAGGATAAATGGGCCTCTTACCTCTGGTGGTGATAGATTGAGGGCCTTCAAGGCAAAGACTGCTGTCTGGTTCTCCTCACTGGCTTCCTTCTCTTACTGTATTTTGTATAGCTCCAAGCATGCCACCAGTACCCACAACAAACCATTAATTAACTCTAGCTTCTGTTCTAGGTTTGAAAAGTCCACGGTTGTCATATGGAGCTGTGTGTGTGTGCATGTGTGTGTGTGAGAGAGACAGAGAGAGAGATACACAAACCATTCCAGCCACTGCTTCTCTTGTTCGCCCACCTAACACAGCAGCAGGCTGTTGTTGTCGTTGCTGTCGTCAGTTGCCATGGAGTCAATTCTGACTCACAGTGACCCCATGTGTTACAGAGCAGAACTTCTCCATAGGGTATTCTTGGCTGTAATCTTAATGGAAGCAGATTGCCAGGTCTTTCTTCCATGGTACCATTAGGTGGGTTTGAGCCACCAGCCTTTACGTTAGCAGTTGAGTGCAAACTGTTTGCGCCACCCAGGGACCTTTTTAGCAGCAAGTACTGAAGCCAAAATAAAGGAAGAAACCTTGTTTGCAGCTGCATCGCTAGAGTCCCGTGCCTTATGCTTACCACCAATAGACATTTGAAAAATATTTACTGACTTGACAGTGGGAAGGACTGGGGTGGAATCTTCTGGAACTCTGAGTTTTCTTCGTACTTTTTTCTGAATTTTGGCCATGAGGGTTGTATCTGTCTGAGTTTAATATATGTAAATATATATATATATGAAGTGATTTATTACAAGGAATTGCCCTACATGATTGTGGGAATTAGCTAAGCAAGTGCAAAATCCAGAGTCCAGGCAGTCAGGAAGGGAGGATTGCAATCAGAATGGAACTCTGTAGGTATGGCTGAAGATGTTGTCTGCAAGTGGGATTTATTATCTGTGTGTCTCTCTCTGGAAGTCTTAGCTCTGCTCTGAAGATCTTCCAATTGATTAAGTCAGGCCCACTCAGATTATTCAGGGTAATCTCCCTTACTTAAAGTTAACTGATTAGGGACTTTAATGAAATCCGCAAACCCCATTCACAACAACATCTAGATTAGTGTTTGCTTGAATAACTGGGGACTGTAACCTAGCCAAGTTGACACATCATAAAAGCCAACACAGGGGTTAAGAATAATATGTTGGAGATAGGTGGATGGGCAAAGAAAAGAAGAGGTGGTGAGTGTGTGTGTGTGTGTGTGTGTGGAAAGAGACAGGAGAGAGAGAGAGATGGCTGGAAGTAGTGGCAGGAGACTCCTTGTGTTCCCTTTTGAACCTCAACTCTCCCATGTCTGTCTTGGGAAGGTAATTGGTGTCTAACGCATTGCACAGGAAAACCGTGACCTGACATGAGGTTCTGCTCCCCTGTCAAACCGAGGTAAGGCAGAGTCTCGTCCAATGTTTTAGACAGGTGGCGGGTTATCAGAACTGGCAGCTCACTTTGCTTCCTTCAAGAAGGTCAAAGCCACACACCCGGACAGGCTGCTAGGTATTTTCCTCCACGGCACCTTGCACCGGCTGAATTTCTCCATTGCGGCGCCAGAGGGCGCCCGAGATGAGGAAAACGTCCGCGGAACTCCAGGAGGAGCCAAGCAGGTGCCTGGAGCGCTCGGGACTCTGGGGGCAGGAGTCAGGGTCCCGCTGGCAAGGGCCTTCTCTTCCCTGGGACATCTGGAAAGGTTGCCACCCTTACATGTACATTTCAGGGATGGAAAGACGGACTCCCAGGAGCAGAGAGCTAGTAGATTCGCTTTCCCTTGTAAGGGGTGGGTACAGGATGGTTGCTGGGGAGGGGGATGGTGGTTGGTCTGGGGAGGGAGGAACCGATCCTGGGGATACCTCATGCCTCATTTGTCAACGCTCGGCCCCTTCCTCATACTACTGAAGCCCGTGGGCAGCTTCTCCCAGTGCTTGGGATTTAGGAAGCCCCACTGTCGCAGGCCCTCGTGGCGCAGTGGTTAACCGTTTGGCTACTAACCAAAAGGTCGACAGTTGCATCCACCAGCCGCTCCTTGGAAACGCTATGGCGCAGTTCTGCTCTGTCCTACTGGGTTGCTATGAGTCGGAATCGACTGGACGACAACGGGTTTTTTGAGTTTACTATTCCGGGAGAAAGGAGCCGGCGTCCGCTCCCCTTCCTGGCGCTTGCCCCTCTGAGACCCCCCAGTGGGTGCGAATGGCGCGGGCCAGGGCCCAGGCGAAAGGCCCCGGCGATGCCCGCCTTATCTCAAAATAAGGCCATCTTCAGGCTGCTGCAGAGTTTGCGGCCAGGATCTGCATTTCGCTCCCGCATGCCGTCATCAGTAACCCTGTTCCCGAAGTCAGGCGCCCTAGGCAAAGACACAGCTCTTTTCTGTAGTGTTTTGTTGTTGTCTTCCCTAACTTCCCTTCCTCCTTCCCTCCCTCCCTCCCTCCTTCCTTCTTTCCTCTCTTTCTCTCTCTGTCTCCCTCCCTCCCTCCCCTTTTTCCTCTCTCTCTCTCTTTAATCTTGGGATAAAAAGGATGCCTGTCTCAGTTGACTAATGTCACCCATCTCTCTTTTCTCTTCCCGCCTTAAAAATGCAGCATCTTAATGAAATGCTTTTAAAAGCAATATAGATTTTGAGAGAAAGAAAAATCACTCGAGAATCCCAATCAAGGCTTTAATGCAATGGCATTATTTTCAAAAAATAAATGACTGGAACGGCTTTTGCAATTCTCAAAGATGGTGAACAAGGCCAAAGAGAATATATCAGACAGTTGGAAATTATAAAGAAGAGCTGCTGCAAAGAGCTCATCATTTGCACAATAGAGACATTTAAACACTCAGAGAGACTGAGCAATAAACACATTTCTCACTCAAACAAAACGGAGGTGGACGAGGAAGCCATGTTCTTCTTTTCTTGCCTGATTTAGGCACCTCCATGGCCTCAGCTAATGTGTGGTTTCAGAAAACTCTGACAGCAATGGGTGTCTGCGATACGTCTCAGTTGTCAAGAAGCTTCTTATATTTCCTAAAGAAACTCAACTCAGATTCATTAAACCATGTCATAGAGCAAAGAGAATTAAATATTTTTTTAAGGCTGCAACTAATCCTGGAACTTAAATATGGAAGGAAAAAATCCTATATATGAAAGATCTGTGAAATTTTTACGGAAAAATGCAAAGGTGTTGTGTTTAAATATCCTCAGAGGAGGAAAAATCAGGATTTCCCCCCCAAAAAAGTCCAAATGATTTTCAGCCATCTATTCCAAGACCTCTCCTCATAGACTTCAATTAAATAAAATAACATCTTTTTTGAGTCATTTAGGAAAATATTTACATATCAGTGAAAGCAAGGAGATCCTTTGAAAGATGTCGCTATGTATATTAAAGGCAAACCTTGTATGTATGCTTTTTTTTTTTTCATTGCAATTGTAGGCCTACATTAAGAATTTTCCCTCCCTTTGCAAACATCAGCGTAGTGCTGTAACTTCCTTTATTTGCAATTAGTATATCCCATGGTTAACAAAGAACTTTTTAGAGGAAAAAAAAAAGGTGCCCTAGTGAAATTCAGTAATTCTTTATAAAAAGAAAAAAGGATCTTTTATATGCATTTTTATATGCACTATGTATATATATGTCTAAATATAAGCATGGTGTGTACCTGATAAAGTTGACTTCTGCTGACGGTGTAACCTGGGTAAATCAACATAGCATCCATAGCACATTATAGGGTAGACTTTACTGGGTTTTACCTTCAGGTAAAGCCTTCTATTAAGTATATACAAGTGCCCAAATACCTAAACTGCCTTGTTTTCCACAGTGCTGTATACGTAATCTCTCTTTTGAAATTTGTTTAATCAAAGCTTGCTATATTGAATACATTTAATTGGAATCCAGTGGTTAGAAAAGTATAAAACTTTACTGCTGCAGAACAGTTTTGATTAGTACTTTCCATTAGCAAGTGTTGAGTGAACTCGCTAACATCACATTTGCATTCAGACAAGAACTGACTTAGCAAAACAGGTGATGCTTTCCACTGTACACATATATTATTTGCCATAAATATTTGTAATGAAAGAAGTGGTCTGTTTCAGAGGAAGTAACTGCAAGGAAGACTTATAAATAATCAAAAGGAAAAAAGAGTTTCCAGTCTTGATAAGTATTCGCATGGGGGCTTGAAGGGTGAGTTATTAGGTGTGGAAAGGTAAAGTCTAGAAAACCTCTCCCACGTACAGTTTAAGGTAAACTGCAGTAGAGCGTGGCAGATAACATCTGTGAAGCGCCGCCATTCCCATACGTCAGAATCTTACCCTCTCTTCACCCATTAAAAAGTATACTCAAATACAAAGAAAGGGTGTTTTACCTTAATGGGACATTGCAGGAAGATGACAGTTTATGCTGGAATCATTTGACTTGGCTATGGTAAAATACAAAAATAAATGAACAGGAAGAAATGAAAGAAAGAAAAAAAAATGTTACTACTTTTAAACAAAATTAAGATGTAAAAACTTTCAATCCTATGAATTTTTTTATCAGTTGTCATACCTTATGTTCAGCTATCAATTTGGACTTTATTAGTTAAGTTAAAAACAAAAGTAAAAATAAGACGCAGGTTATAAAGGGAATTTTTGTTCCCTTTTCTCATTTAGGATTCTCTAATTCAAGAAGGGCTACATTCCTCTTCAATTGTGTGTCTAAGTCTGGAATCAAACTGAAGTAGTTACAAGGCAGGCTACTTAGCAAGTATCAAGTCGGTGTTCTGTGTTTCACAGGTGATAGAATTTTGACACTGTCATGGATTGAATTATGTCCCGCAAAAAATGTGTGTATCAGTTTGGCTGGGCCATGATTCCCAGAATTGTGTGGTTGTCCTCCATTTTGTGATTGTAATTTTATGTTAAAGAGGATTACAGTGGGAATGTAACACCACCCTTACCCAGGTCAATCCCTAATCCAACGTAAAGGGAGTTTCCCTGGGGTGGGGCCTGCACCACCTTTTACTCTCAAGAGATAAAAGGCAAGGGAAGCAAGCAGAGAGTCGGGGACCTCGTACCACCAAGAAAGAAGCACCGGGAGCAGAGGGCGTCCTTTGGACCCGAGGTTCCTGCACAGAGAAGGTCATAGCCCCGGGGGAAGACTGATGATGACAAGGACCTTCCTCCAGAGCCGACGGAGAGAAAAAGCCTTCCCCTGGAGCTGACGCCCTGAATTTGGACTTCTAGCCTACTAGACTGTGAGAGAATAAACTTCTCCTTGTAAAGCCATCCACTAGTGGTATTTCTGTTGGAGCAGCCCTAGATGACTAAGACGCCATACACTGAAGCATGGCAAAGCCCCACAGAGTCGAAGGTCTGCATCTAACTTAACCAAGATTTTTCTAGTGCATAATCCCAGCCTATTCTTAGGGTTAAGTGCAGTGAGTATCTTTGTGTTTATTACCGTTATTATGCTTTGGTAAATGTCTAGCTACTATAGTGCTCAGTGTGCGTGTGCGTGTGTGTGTGTGCGTGTGCGCGTGTGCGCGTGCGTACGCGTGTGCGTGTGTGTGGTGGAAAGTGGGGCACAAGAAGAAAGAGCGGCAAGAGAAAGGGAGAGGGAGAATTGGGGATGCAGAAAAGCTCTGCTTTGAGATATTACTCATTCTCCTTTTCTACTATCTTATTCACAAATTAATTTTAAAAACAAGAATATTATTTAGGGAAATAATTAAGTCCCCAACTCCCCCTTTTTTTCCCCCAAAACTGGTATCACAGTTGTAGAACACTCTCCGTTCTGTTTCACCGTTGTTCAGACGTGATGATTGTATTCTATGGCTTACTCGTGTGTGGGATACTTACTCACAGACTGAAAACTCAACAAGTTCATGAAGAAGGTTGTGTACACACAGTTTTTCTCATGGTCTTTGAATGTCATCGGTGTTGGCTGACAATGAGAATGTGAATAACGTCTCATTCTTTGTTGCAACCCAATGTTCTTTCTTTGAAAAATTAATATCTCTTTGTAATAAATGTTATTCAATGAGAATGGCAAACCATGCTAATTACAATACTATCTATGAAAAGGATGTTATACCAAAAGAATGCTTTGCAGGAAAATGGCATTTCATGTTAGAATTGTTTGATTTGAGTACGATGAAAAGAAAATGTTAATGTATTCATATCAAATAGTAGGCAATCAAAAAAAAGCAAAATATGTAAAAGAATCTCAATTTTCAGATGAAATGTATTTGATCACTATTCATCAACATTCTGCTACCAGTTAAACTTTATTAATTAAATCTAAAATTATATAACATCTTAACCTTGTAAGTTAAGCAAGGAAAAATAATCTTAATTAGTTCAAAGCCTAAATAGAACACAATTGTAATACTTTCAAGTATAAAAAGAACATTTATCACACTGTTAATTCCAAGTGGGTTTGACTGAATGACTAATGATGACTTCCATTTGTACAAAGTAGCCTCATTTGAGTATAAGGCATGTGTTAATATGTCATTCAATTAAAAAAAAAAAAAAACCAACCTTTTATTAAGCAGCTATGATGTGCAGGCAGATAGACAGACAGGCCCTCACAGCTTCGTTAACTAGTGTGTGGAGTGTCAGGAAAAGAAATCATGGAACGCGTGGGCTCTGCTTGCATTCCCTGTGAGCTTGGGAGTAACACACTGTGCCTGTGTAGGAAGCACGCATTCAACAAACTTGGGCCAAATGATCAGAAAGCACTGGATTTCGATGAAACGACGTATTGCTGAGTGGCTTTGGTACTGAAACAATTACCTTATTATGCTGGCAGCACTGATGAAGTTCAACGAAAACTTATTTGTAAAATCTATTCTTTATTTAGAAATCGTGTGATCAAAATAAGACACTTTTAAAAATCATTATTATTTTGAGATGTTCACATCACAGAATTATTGCTTAAAAAAGCAAGAGAGCAAAAAGAGAAAAAAACATGGCTATACATTTCACTGAAAAACAAAACAAAAAAGAAACAGTTGCCATCAGCTTGACTAACTCACAGCAACCGTATGTGTGTCAGAGTAGAACTGCGCTTCATGAGGTTTTCTATGGCTGATTTTTCAGAAGTAGATCACCAGGCCTTTCTTCTGAGGTGCCTCTAGGTGGACTTGAACTCCTTACCTTTCAGTTAGCAGCCAAGTGCATTCACTGTTTGCACCACCCAGGGATTCCTAGGCATTTCACTAGGTGCCTTTATTCTTTAGCTCATCCCACAGGATCTTGACGGAATGACAAATCTGCCTTCCTGAGCTCTACCTTTCTGCCGTTCCTCATAAGAGATCTCATTTCCTGTCACAGGAGCAGCCTCCTCTCAATGCCAGTGTCCATTGTCATTTACCTATGAGCCTAGAACTGACATTCTCTAGAATGCTTTACAAAGTCAAAAGCACCGAGGACCCACTCCCTGTGGAGTGTGTGAGGGTCTGTTCCCTACGTACAGAGGGTTGTGGAGAGGGCTGGAGTGCTGTGGTTGCCCTGAGTGAAGATATATCTGGGTGATTCTAAAGCCACTATGGAATTCTCTTCCTTATTTGAAATGTCCAGTTAAAGGCTGGATTACAACCCCTGAGCCTAAATCAAAACGCAGCCTTCCTCAGGAGTAGGGAAGCAGGAGGCTGAGAGGCTCCTTGCCTTTTTCTGTTGGGTCTCCCTTCATCTCCCGCCCACAACCTCTTGGTATGTCAGGCCACAACTGGCTTACTACCATGCGGATATGGCTGTGGCACAGGGTTGCCTGCAAAACATCTTCCTCTGTCATATTTTGATAGTTCCTTACTGTTTTTATAACAGACGAGGAAAGGGTGAGCCTCTTAGGGGAAATTACTATTTCTTTCCTGAGATGCTCGGTAAGAACGATTAATGTGGGCCAGGGTGTGGCGGAGGACCGAGCTGACATCTTGGCGAAAGCCTGCGAGTGGACCCCGCCTAAACGCTGACAGAACACAAGGTCTTAGTCCAAGCTGTTCCACAGATGTAAACTGGTTGCCTCCCAGCTCCAGCTGATCAGGCTTCATGGATGAAACGGCATCTTTCCCTTAGGAACTGCTATTCCTGAAATTTCACTCAGGAGATAAGCTGCTTGTGATAATAGTGTGCTAATAATGAAGACAGCCTTTTACACCCAGCCCTTGGGTGACCTCAGAAATAGGAGACATGACTGACAGCTGAAGAAAACTGCACGAGCTGTCCCTCCCCCTCCACCATTCCTCCTACTTGGACGCCTGGCAGGGGCAGATTAACCAGTAAGCGCGAGATACGCACCGGTTTACAGTAAGCAAGGTACCACAAAAAAAAAAAAAAAAAACCAAATCCGTTGCTGCCGAGTCGATTCTGACTGTGTTTATTCACTAATCAATCTGTAGTGCACAGTTTCACCTGGGTTTCACCAAAACCAGGTGAAATTGCGCACTACAGATGAGTAAGTAAACCCATTTGTACCTTGCTTTTTGAGTAATCCATCCCTGCTCCCTGGTGGCAACTCCATAGGAATATGGCTGCAGTTCAGAATAAGCCCCAGTGGATCCTCACAGCTTTTCTTTCTATTATTCAGACCAGACCTCTTGAGTTGATCTAGGTTAACTATATTCTGCTTCTGAAACATCTAGGAGACATATATATATTTAAACTTTAATTATATGCAATTTAATTTTAATTATATATCATGGTTTAGTGCTCCACTGCTAACTGAAAGGTCGACGGTTTGAACCCGCTAGCTACTCCACAGGAGAAAAGACCTGGTAATTTGCTCCTATGAAGACTGCAGCCTGGGAAACCCTATGGGATGGTTCTGTTCTGTCATATATGGTTGCTACGAGTCAGAATTGACTCGATGGCACACAACAACAAATACATACGTGTGTGCATGTGTGTAAACAAAAAATAACCCAAACCAGTTGGCATAGATTCCGATTCAGGGCGACCCCATGTGTGTCAGAATATAACTCACTCTGCAGGGTTTTAATGGCTGATTTTTCGGAAGTAGATTAGTAAGTGCCTTCACGCAGGTGCCTCTGGGTGAACTTGAACCTCCAACCTTTCAGTTGTTAGCCAAGCACTTAACTGTTTGTGCCACTCAGGGATTCCTACACACACACACACACACAGACACACACACACAGACACACACACACAGACACACACACACAGACACAGACACACACACACACACACACACAGAGCTGAAGAAAACTTTTGCAGAGAAAAGGCCTCTGGAAGGGCCGAAATCCCCTTGTTGTTTGTGGTGACCACTCCGTGCCCCCTGCAGCGTATGGTGGCTGGTGTGGGCGGACCGGCTACATAGCTGCATGGGTGTGTGGGGAAGAACTGATGCAGGCGGCGGGCCGCCTGGTTGTTGTTGCAGTTATTTATTATTGCACTGAATTACTGGTGAGTGACGAGGGCTTCTTACATCCCAGCAGGCTGGCATCCGTGGAACATATTTTCAACATGAATTGCAAAAGAAATAACAAAACTATGAAATGGCTAATTAGAGAGCCATTTCACAGAGGTCCTGCCTGATGACAAATTTCTTGGTCATTTGCTAGTTTCCAAGTGGAATGAAATCAGAGTCCATGAATCTGGGCCTGGGGGCAGAATGCAGGGGGCCAGGGATGAGCTAGTCAGTGTACCTCAACGCATTTATAATGTATTAGGGGAATTAATTGCATTTTAGAAAACTCTGGGGGAGGCTACAGTTTTTGGTGGAAGGGGGGGACCCCCAGTCACAGAGCAAGTGTCTAGACTAGTCTGCTATTTCTAAGACGAATGTAATACCCCACTTAGTATTAGAACTCAATGCCCTTGGCAGAATTATTTTCTTCTTCATATTCCAAACCCAAACCCACTGCCATCGAGTCGCTTCTGACTCATAACAACCCTGTAGGACAGAGTAGAACTGCCCCACAAGGTTTCCAAGGCTGTAATCTTTACAGAAGCAGACTGCCACATTTTTATCCCGCGGAGCCGCTGGTAGGTTGGAACCGCTGACCTTATGGTTAGCAGCTGAGCGCTTTAGCCACTGTGCCACTAGGGCTCCTTTCTTCATATTAACCATGCATAAAAAACGTCAGCGATTCTTTCCCTGCAGTGCATGAGATATGACATTTTTGTCTGGGAGACTGTAAAAGCCTTCAAAGCAGGTAGTCATGCTCCTGAGGTCAGATGAATAGTGGAGACCTAAGTCTCTATGAGTCTGTTCAAGAGTGTATACCTTTGGAGTTTGTAGAGAAGATGAGAAATGAAAACAAATCCATTACTTGACTGACTAACACTTACACAGCTCCTCACTTAAACGTTGGGGCACAGGGAATACAACACCCTGGGTAGCTTCCATAGCATCTACAGATGATCATTTAAGCTGTAAACCAAAACCAAACCCATTGCCATCAAGTCGATTCAACCCATTGCCATCAAGTCATCAGGTCGCATAGCAACCCTGTAGGACAGAGTAGAACTGCCCCATAGGGTTTCCAAAGAGTGGCTGGTGGTTAGCAGCCAAATGCTTAACCACTGTGCCACCAGGGCTCCTTTTAAGCTTCAGGAAGGAATATTAAAAATTACTAAACTATTTGCCTTTAACCTACATAAAGGAGCCAGGGGCCTGTCTACAGAAAATAGGTCCCAGGGCAATCGGTGTTACATTGGTGAATGAGCTCTCACAGCTGGCCACGGAAACTGTGATGACCAATAGAAACTACTCATTGGTGCCCCAGCTCAAGTGGCGCCCTGGCAGGCATTGTACCTGCTGTACCTTAGTTACATTTCTGAATTAAGGAGCCCTCGTGGCGCAGTTCATCGGAATTGACTTGACGGCAACGGTTTTTTTTTTTTTTTTTTTTTTGGTTGTTGTTGTTTTAACTAAGCACTCAGCTGCTAACTGAAAGACTGGTGGTTCGAACCCACCAGTGACTCCTTGGGCGAAAGACCTGGCAATCTCCTTCCACAAAGATTACAGCCTAGAAAACCCTATGGGGCAGTTCTACACTGTCACATGGGGTTTCTATGAGTTGAAATCAACTCGATGGCACCCAATAACAACATCAACAACCTACATAAAAGAAGATCTGCCCCAGGAGTGGAATGGAAGTACACACAAAATAAAACAGAACACAAAGGGATTTACATTTCTCTTTTATCTTGATATTTATGGGCTAACAGGCTAAGATTCTAGTTCCGTTAGCATTATACACTCAATTTATGACATCTTTGTTTTGATAAGTATTCACTGCATAAGCAAACTATCCCAAACCTTAGTGGCTTAAAACAACCACTTTATTTTACTCACAATTTTATGGGTCAGGAATTCTAGAAGGGCTTGGCAAGGCGGTTCTTCTCTGATCCACATGGTGTCACTGTGGCTGCTGGGGCTGTAGGATCCCCTTCCAAGTTAGATTCTTCATTCACGTGTCTGGTACCTCTGTGCTCCTTGGTCTGCCTATCTCCCTTTTTCTCTTTCTCTGTGGCATCTTGTCCTCCAGGGCCTCTCCACATGGCCTGGGGTAGGCAGATTTCTCACATGGTGGTTGATTTCCAAGAGGCAGGAAGTAAAAGGAGCCAGGTCAGTTAAAGGCTATGCCCAAAACACAGTGTTACTTCTGCTGAATTCTATTGGTGAAAGCATTCACAGGGCCCAACCACATTCAGGGGCAGTAGACATAGACTCCTCCTCTTACTAAGGGGTGGCCAAGGTCACATGCAGAGGGGTATATGGGAGATGACAGATACTGTTGTGGTTATGTTTGGAAAATATAATCTGCCATAGTAAGAAATAAAAGTCTAAAAGTATGCTGTTGTTTGTTGTTAAGATATAACTTATAAAGTTTTCATTTTCATTCTGTTCCCAAGGGGTTGCATTCTTATCATAAATCCTCCATCCTCACAATCTATGTCCCTTGGGAACCACCATGCAAGTCACCTCCATTCAGTCACCTCCTCTGTGAAGCCCACCAGGAGCATTGGCCGCCCCTTCTCCAGCCTCCAGCACTACGCTCAGCTCTGGTACCACCTGTTAGCCTGGTCTAGCCTTACCATTTCCACTGCTGGATTGTGACTTGAGGGAGGAGCTATATCTTACTCATCTCTATAATGTTTAGTAGCATTTTCTTTTTTAGCTCAGTTAATGTATGTTAAATAACTTAATAAATGAGGAAATACCACTCTGATTCTAGGAGCTTGACCTTGCCAGTTCATTCATGTTGGCTCAGAAAGAAGAATGTAAACTGGAAACAAGTCCCTGGCTGCCTGGTGATAGTGTTTTATTCTGTAGGAGAGATATAGTGAGCTCGTGTTTTCAGATGCAGAGGTGGGGATGAAGAAGCTATGAAAGAAGGAAGAGCCAGCTCTAGCTGTCCCTTCCCCTCCACCATTCCTCCTACTTTGGCTTCTTGGTGACGACTCTACATGAATGTGACTTCAGTTCAGGACGGGTCCAAGAGTCCCCAACAGCTTTTCCTTCTTTTATTCACACCACTAGCACGTGTGGCACCCCAAATCCTCTTGAGTTGATCTAGACTAACCATATTCTGCTTCTGAAACATCTAGGAAACTTAAATTTAACTTTCTCTCTCTATGTATGTATGTATAATATTCATTTATATTTAT